AATGAGACTTCCATCTAGTGCAATCATCCTCACTCTAGACACTGAAGTATTGTGTAGGTACAGGCGTCTTCCAGTAGGATAAAGTAAATGGCTGAAGTTCACCCTTGATATTTTGATTGACGGCTAAGCTACACCAAAAGGGTAATGCTGCCTTTTTCCTTTAATCCCACCCACACTGGTGAACGGGGGGTTCGATTCTTGGTCCTTTGTACAACCAAAGAACTTTACCAGCTACAGCTAAGCTGTCAAGCACCTTGAATTACAATTACAGATTGCATTTCAAGCTTGTGAAGCCACTCTTGAAATTCTTTTTCACTTTATAAATTTAATTTTATTAGGGAAATTAAACTGGTTAGGATACCCCTATACCATTAAGGATAAGTGACGGCAATATTCCATACCTTCTTGATTTTAAAGAAGTTTTTGAGAATATATAAGACGTTTGTGAGGAAAAAGATGATGTTACTTTCTGTTTCTCCATTATTTCTTTTGACTAAAAGTAAAACTTCTAATTTGTTTTGTTAACTTTTGCAGAGTTATATCTCAGGATTTGGCAACTGGATTGCAGATGAAGTCCTATACCAAGTTAGTGCACCTTATATATCTATAAAAGATTAATTGCTATATATTTAAGATGTAGTTTGAGGTTAAGCCCATGATATAGGTTCTTATGAAATCTAGATATTTGACATTTAATCCAAACGAAAATTCTACAATGTTTGTTGCTCTGAAAAACTAGAGCTTTCACTTCAGGTGGGGCTGCCATAAATACATTTTCATGGCCTTCTCCTTGACACACTTTGGATGAATACAAGTAATGATCTGAAAGTTGCATTTCAAGATGGTTTTTCCTGTCTCTTAGTTTGACAAGTTTGAGAGAGAGAGGAAATATTGAATTTATATTCATTTGTTATAGAAGATTAATCTGATGCCATTTCTTATGTATGGGATTGTTTGATACTAGGAAACATTTCCTGTGAAAATTGATGAGTAGCCATGTTCATTTATATGAGGACAAACACTTTCACATTCTTGTAGAAAAACCCGAAGTTTTGAGTACACATGATTGTCTTGGTGCATCTTCTTGGTGACTGAGCATAGATTTTAGAAGGTTGGAAGTTCAAAATAGATTTTCAAGTATGTCATACATTGCTGCCCTTTTTTTTTTTTTCTCCCAAGTCCCCAGAACTTCTATTCCTTTGACAATCAGCAACTTTGTTAAAGGGGTTTTTGTAGAGGAGGTTTGATAGGATGAGTTGAGTGTGACTGTATGGTGGGGTGGCTACTACCCTTCCAAAAACAGTTTTCTCTAGAGTGATATGAAGTTTGATTTTATTAATATTGAGATGGGAAACACGAAACATGTTAGTTGAGTGGGCAGATTTATATAGCAGTTCATCATATAATTTAGTATGTGGCAGGCAAGGATTCAGCAGCTACAGATTTCTTCCAGCTTGTCCAAAGAAAACTTTGTAACCTTACACAAGTGTATCAAAGGAGGTAGGGAATTCTTGACCCATCTTGTAGTTGGTAACAATATTGTGTTATAAATGTGCATTCTACATGGAAAATTTCTGTAGGTAATTCGATATGCAGTAGAAGTTGATGCTGACTGCAATCGCCAAAGAAGAGAGCAAAGTAGGTGTAGCTGATGAGACTGAAAGGGCAGTGTGATGTGTTCTTGTAAGTAGTATTATTGGTCCCATCCCAAGCACTGGGTCAACTCTGAACTCATGGCTGTCTTCTGCCCTTTCAATAGCACCTGCATCTGATTATTGCTTCTACTTGGAAGAAATGGACTTCTTCTCCCGCTTTTATTTAAGGTTTTAAGCACTAAAATTCTTATGCTTAGCTTAGTTGCAGCTCCTCTTGATCACTTCTCGCGTTTTATTTGCTCAGAAATTAGCAATTTGAAAATGTTTAGCTTTCTCAAATTTATTTACTTTTTTATTAAATTTTTAAACTATCATTTTTGTATTTTTTAATAAAATTTTGATATCGTGCATGAAATTATCAAATTAAATTTTTTTAATCAACCAAATAAAATAAAATTTAGTTCCTAAATCATGAAAAAAATTAGGTTTTTATAATAATTCTAATGATAATTTTTATTTTTATTTATCTATGACAGTTTTATTGAAAGTTTAAAAGTTTCATTTTCACTTTCTCTTTTATTTTAATCTAATTAAAGCATGGAAAATTATATTAAAAAAGATTAGGTTTATCAAATTTTTACACATTGAAAAAAAAATTTTTTTTTTTGAGAATCAACGATCACTAAGTTATTATAAAATTATAAATCTCTTGATATTGTAAAAACAGTTTTTGCTCAATAGGTTTATTTTTCTAAATTAATTAGTTAGTAGATGAATTTAATTTTTATATAAAAATAAAAAACACATTTTTTTAATCTTTAGGAAAAAAAATCCGTTGATGGCAAAAAAAAAGGGGGGGCCAAAAACAAAGGGCCAAACCCCGAAATAAAGCCCCCAAACCAAATTAACCTCTCTTACTTACGGAAGTTATCCTCATCCCCATTCAAACCATGACCGGCGATACCACGTTTTATCCCAGCGATCACCAGGCTTTGTCTCCTCCCAACCTCCAAATAACGCTACGTTCCCTCTTCCATTCTCCCTTCTAATTACTCCGTTTCAATTCCCATATTCCCTTCCCCACTAGCATTTCTAATTCTAAGGTTTTAGGTTATATTTGATGTATAAGATGACGAATAAAATAAAATAATAATTATTTTATATCATATTTGGATTGTATTTAAAAAGAGAGATAAAATATAAGGATGATTAATCATTTTCTTAGCATAGCATAGTTCAATAAATCAATTCTCTCAAAGTGAAAAAGATTAGTTTTAATCTATATTATTGAACTTATGAATATGTTTGATACATAAGATTATGATAAGATAAGATAATAAGATATTATGAATATGATTAAATTAAATAATATCATTCTATCATGTGTTTGATATATGTAAGTATTAAAATAAGATAATTTATTTATTAGTCAAAATTATCTTTTCTCAAATTTTATATAATTTAAATTATTGATGTTATTTTTAAGGATACAATAGAAAATATAAGTTTAATCTCGTGGATTAAAAATAATTCTCTCTATTTTTAAAAGATTGAATCATCCTATACCAAGAGTATAATTAATCATCTTTATAATCCTATTCATTTCTTTATATATGAATCAAATATATCATAGGATGATTGTCATCATATCTTGTCAATTATCCTATGCACCAAATATTATCTAAATGTCTTATTATACCATTAAAAATTATATCAATAATTTAAATTATATAAATTTTGACTAATAAATAATTATACTATTCTAATCTTTACTTGCACACATCAAACACAAGAGAGTACAATATTATTTAATCTAATATTAATCGTAATATTATCTTATCTTATTCTATTATAATTTTATACACCAAATACTCTTAGCTCATTTATTTTTGCTCAGAATTTCAATTAATTTTTTAGTGTTCTTTTAATGCTATGAACGAATGAACTTCTTTTATTAGTAAGTTAAGCTATATTATGATTTTGAATGAAGAAATTATGTTATTAATAATATCATTTCTTTCGGCAAGTAAAATTCAAGGAGCAATTTGGTTCCCTTCAACTTTTTGGGAAATTATTCACATTATTTTTAGTTTTAAGATTAAAGAAATGCTCAAATTAAAGCATTAATTTAAAATATTTGATATAGTTTTCAAAGTTTCGATGTTAATATACATATTTAATAACCATAGTTTATTTTAAAACCATGCTGAAAGCTTTTCAAGATAGTGAATTTGGGATGGAGGGCATGGTTTAACTTTACTAGATAATCTTTTGTTAATACGTCATTCAATGTTTGACTATAAGATTGTTAAAAAATGTTCAGGCACAAAGAGTTGGATCCTTCATGATAGGAAGGGAGTGCCTGGAGTCTTTCCCGATCAGAAAGTATTTATAAAAAATTTGTTCCGCAATCATTTCTCAAGCACTGGAACCTTATGGACCTGTTTTATTTGTGAATGGTTAACGACAGATTTGGGGAATTACTATAAAATTTTGATGTTTTTAAGCTGTAATATAAATAACTACTACTCACTACTCTCGGTCTTGGAACATGTTTTTGGCTAAAAGCGCAACAGGATTAACTAGAAAAAAGATGATACTTTTGTACATTCTTTTGAGGAGAAAATAGGAGAGAGGGTATCATAGCTTGCTTCAAGTCGTTGCATTAAATCCCAAAGGGGGATATTTAGGAAAGAATTGAAATTGCAGAGATCATATATTTCCTTGGTTTACAAGTTACTGGTTCAGGTATCCTGTTTGTATGTTCTTTAAGTGGCAGTCATCCACTGATATTAATGGATGGGTTTTACATTTCAGATTGAAGACGGTTCTCAAAACAGTGAGCAGCTCTTTGAAGATGATGGCAATGTGCTTGAAATGGAAGGAAATGACCTTGAAATGGAAAGGAATGACCTTGAAATTGAAGGGAACGAGGTTGATATCAAGAGCAGTGGCCTTGAGATAGAAGGAAATGGCCTTGACCTTGAAAGCAATGGCCTTCAGAATGATTGTGACCAAATACTTGAGATTGAAGACAATCATGAAAGCAATGGGGATGATACAACCGAAGTGGCATATCTCAAGGAAAGGATTATCCATCACCAGTTGTGAGAATGGAGTTTGAATCGTATGATGATGCTTATAATTATTATAACTATTATGCAACTATTATGCCAAGGAGCTAGGATTTGCAATCAGGGTGAAATCTTCATGGACAAAGCCTAACAGCAAAGAGAAACGCGGAGTTGTGCTCTGTTGTAACTGTGAGGGCTTCAAAACAATCAAAGAAGCAAACAGTCGTAGGAAGGAAACAAGAACTGGCCGTCTCGAAAAGATTGAGGTTAGTGGAATCTAATAGATGGAGGATGGATGAAGTCAAACTGGAACACAATCACCTATTCAACCATGAAAGGGCGCAAAATTGTAAAGTCACACAAGAAGATGGAAGCTGTAGCCAAAAGGAAGGTGGAGCCAACTATGGATGTAGAAGCACGGACAATCAAGTTGTATCGTACACCTGTGGTTGATCCATTGGGTTATGGAAGCTCAAACTCGCTCGAAGGAGAAATTAGTAAGAATGTTGACCGTTCTAAACGCTTGAAGCTTAAAAAAGGAGATTCCCAAATTATTTACAATTATTTTAGCCGCATTCAGCTTACTAATCCAAATTTTGTTTACTTGATGGATCTCGATGACGAAGGGTATCTGAGGAATGAGTTTTGGATAGATTCTAGGTCTAGGGCTGCATATGTTTACTTTGGTAATGTGGTCGCAGTTGATACAACCTGCTTGTCAAAAAAATATGAGATTCCTCTCGCTGTATTTGTTGGAGTAAATCATCATGAACATTGTATCTTGTTGAGCTGCGGTTTACTTGCTGATGACACATTTGAAACATACGTTTGGTTTTTTAGGGCATAGGTTACCTGTATGTTAGGTCGCCCTCTGCAAACCATAATCACAGACCAGTGCAGGGCAATGCAAGTTGCAATTTCTGTGGTGTTTTCCAGGGCGCACCATCGACTGCATTTGTCACATTTCATGCAAAGCATTCTTGAGAATTTGGGAGAGTTGCAGGAATCTGGTGTCTTTCAAATGATATTAAATAGGACAGTCTATGACTCTTAAAGGGTGGATGAACTTGAAATTGGTTGGATGATATGATTCGGCGGTTTATAATTGCAGACAATGCATGGCTTCGTACTCTGTATGAGGAAAGAAAGCGATAGGTTCCGGTTTACCTTAAAAGATACACTTTTTGCTGGAATGTGCACTTTCCAGAATGGGAGTCTATGAGTTCATTTTTTGATGGCTATGTGCATAAGCAAACTTCTTTGAAGAATTTTTAGACATCTATGAATTAGTTTTGTAAAAAAAGCATAAAAAGGAAGCACTCAATGATCTTGAATCAAGAGGTTCAAGTCCCATGTTGAAAACAAGATGTTATTATGAATTACAGCTTTCAAAGTTGTATACAAACGAAATATTCAGGAGGCTCCGAGATGAGGTTGTGATGATGCCTTCTTGTTTCAGCATAAAACAAGTTCATGCTAACGGACCTGTTATAACATACCTGATTGCAGAACGTGAGGGTGGAGATCAGAGGGATATCAGGAACTTTGAAGTTATGTACGATAAAGCTGGATCGGAAATTCATTGCATATGCAGTTGCTTGAACTTCAACGGGTACCCTTGCAGGTATGGTTTGTGCATCCTTAACTTTAATGGTTTGGAAGAAATCTCCTTTCAATATATCTTCTTGCGATGAACGAAAGATTTTAAGCGCTTATAAATACCAGATCTTCGATCCAATAACGTTGATATTACCAACCCAGATATCCCAAGACCATTACATGGTTGCACGGGAAGCGTTTAAAGTATCTCGTGGCAGACAAGCATGTATAGCTAACAATCCATAGTAACCTACACAATTCTTTGTGGCATCTCTAAATCTCTTACGTGCATGTTTCTACACAGAAGTTCTTCAGCATCCAATCTAGCTATGTCTCGCATAATCTTTCTCCGTACAAATTTTGGGGGAATATAAACAAATATTGTTATGTTTACGATCTGTTCATTTAATTAACGAAATATAAAATATTATTCATTGTCATTTTTTAAATTTAATAAATAAATAAAAATAAATATAAATTATATTTATAAATTATTTGTCAAATATTCCATTATTTAACATTTTCTAATCTAAACAATTAAAAAAAATCATTATATTTGTAATATATTCATTTAATTAAAGAATTTTTTAAATAATTATTTATTATTATTTATTAAGTTTAATAAATGAAAAAAAAAAAAAAACTAAGCCCATATAGTAACGGTCTATTTGTTTATATCCATTTCCATATTCGCGCACAGAACCAAAGTAAAATGCCGTAAAGCATTTATCTGGATTTGCTTTTGGTTCTGACAAATTTTGTTTTGGTTACAATTTAGATTTAAAAATAAAAAAAAAAGGCTCAGATTGAATGTATTTTAGGAAGTAAGTCATACTGAAATTTACAGTAAAAATATCAATGAACAATAATTAAAAAAAATAAATATGGCCTTTCTGCCATTAAAATAAACTGCTATCAAATGGGCCAATAAGCCTATAAAAATAATCTATTAGACGCAGTCCAAGTACTTCACCTTTTCGTGATACCCAAATCGCCCTTCTCCACATCCTAAGGCGGCCGACCGCTGATCCTCTCTTTCTTCATTTTTCAAATCCACCATTTCTGTTGGTTACTCCTTTCTTCTGTTCTGCTCCAATTTGAGGCTCAGATCAGCAACACAGGACCAGAACGGCGACACTCTTTCATACCCAGGTTAGCCTTTAAGTCTCTCCCGTTCTTTTCTCCTATCCCTCGTTTTATTTTTTTTTTCTCTTCTAATTGGATTGTCATGCTCAATTTTGACCTGTAGCTTTTGTTAAACAATAATAATATCCATAATTTACTTATTGAACCAAATATTGAGGTGGGTTCATTTTATTTTCTCCATTTTCCCTTTGTTCCCTTTTGCCTTGTATTTTGGATTATACGTGAACACCATGTTTGAAATATGAGCTTTTCTTTTTTTTTTTTTTTAAATGCATAATAGATGGAAGAAGAAGAAGCTCCTTCTTGTAATGATCGATTGCCTGAGGGAAAATGCGACGGCGAGAATCTAAAAGAAAGAGATAATGAACCAACTGAATTATTAGATGGTGAAAATGGTTTGCCCGAAGGAAAGAAAGAGTTTGTTGCTCCAGCTGTTGGAATGGAATTTGAATCTTATGATGATGCATATAATTATTATAATTGCTATGCTAAGGAAGTTGGATTTCGTGTTAGGGTTAAGAATTCATGGTTTAAGCGGAATAGTAGGGAGAAGTATGGTGCTGTACTTTGTTGTAGTAGCCAGGGTTTTAAAAGAATCAAAGATGTTAACCGTCTTCGAAAGGAAACTAGAACTGGTTGTCCTGTTATGATGCGGATGAGAGTCATGGACTCGAAAAGATGGCGGGTGCTTGAGGTTACACATGAACATAATCACTTATTAGGTGCCAAGATTTATAAATCTACTAAGAAAATGGGCTCTGGACCGAAAAGGAAGTTGCAATCAAGTTCTGATGCTGAAGTGCGAACAATCAAGTTGTATCGAGCTTTAGTGATAGATGCTGGGGGTGATGGGAATCCAAACAGCAATGCAAGGGAAGTTAGGAACTTTTCTGAACATCCAAATCAGCTCAATCTTAAAAAGGGTGATTCGCAAGCCATTTATAACTACCTTTGTCGTATGCAGTTGACCAACCCAAACTTCTTTTACTTGATGGATTTGAATGATGAAGGGCATTTGAGGAATGTATTATGGGTTGATTCGCGATGTAGGGCATCTTTTGGCTACTTTGGGGATGTCATTTATGTTGACAGCACATGCTTGGCAAATAGATATGAGACTCCCCTTGTGGCACTTGTTGGAATAAATCATCATGGCCAAACCGTGTTGCTGGGTTGTGGCCTGCTTGCTGGTGAGACAGCAGAATCTTATACTTGGTTGTTCAAAGCATGGCTTGCATGTTTGTCAGGACAGTGTCCTCAAACCATTATTACAGACAGGTGCAATGCTTTGCAGAATGCAATTGCAGAGGTGTTTCCCAAATCGAATCATCGGTTCAGTTTGTCACACATAATGAAAAAAGTTCCGGAAAGATTGGGAGGATTGCGTAATTATGATGCAATTAGGAAGACATTTGTTAAGGTAGTTTTTGAAACACTGAAAGTAATTGAATTTGAAGCAGCATGGGGATTTATGGTCCAGCATTTTGGTGTCACTGACCATGAATGGCTTCGATCATTATATGAAGATCGAGCTCGGTGGGCTCCAGTTTATCTAAAGGACACATTTTTGCTGGACTGTCTGCTTCAAGGCCTGGTGAGAATGTAAGTACCTTTTTGATAAATATGTGCACAAACAAACTCCTTTGAAAGAATTTCTTGATAAGTATGAATTAGCATTACAAAAGAAGCACAAGGAAGAAACTCTTGCTGATATTGAATCAAGAAACTCCAGCCCTGCATTGAGAACAAGATGCTCTTTTGAGTTGCAACTCTCCAAGTTGTACACGAGAGAAATTTTCAAGAGATTCCAATTTGAGGTAGAGGAGATGTATTCTTGTTTTAGCACAACGCAATTACATGTTGATGGGCCTATCATAATATTCTTGGTCAAAGAGCGAGTGTTGGCTGAAGGAAATAGGAGGGAAATTAGGGATTATGAAGTACTTTATAACAGAACAGCCAGTGAAGTTAGATGCATTTGCAGTTGCTTTAATTTCTATGGGTATCTATGCCGGCATGCATTGTGTGTGCTTAACTTCAATGGTGTGGAGGAGGTCCTTCCAAGTACATTCTCTCACGATGGAAAAAAGATTACAAGCGCTTATATATACCAGATCAATGTTCCGATAATGTTGATGCCGATGATCGCATGCAATGGTTTAATCAGTTATATAGAAGTGCCTTGCAGTTGTGGAGGAGGGTGCAATTTCTTTAGACCATTACAAAGTTGCATTGCAAGCTTTTGAAGAGTCATTGAATAGAGTTCATGAGGTAGAAGAAAAGCCAGATTAACCTTCACTGTGAAGGTACATGATTTTTTGTAAATAAAATTGGTGGCCTTCTGTCTTAATCCACTCATCCTTTGTCATTGAGGTTTGGTTAAATATCTCCTTTATGCAGAGCACTAGCCTAAATGGTTTAGCATGTATATAATTTATGATAAATTTGTATTATTAACCATAATTCCAAAGGGTTTCCCACCCTCATTTGTTCCTTTATAGATATAACAGTACTAGTTTTTCTTGGAAAAGAAAGGGAACTCGATTACTAATCTTGTGTGAGAGTTTAATAAGATGTAATGTATGTTCCTTGCAAAGTTCTGGAAACATGGAGAGACCTTTTATTGTCATCATGAGATATTTCCATGCAGGTTTAAGGCTTTGAAGAATCTTTTGAGTAGATTCATAATGAAAGAAGCCAGAATGTCATTTTTTGAACTTGCTGTGTGTCTATGCCAAACTGTATGTGAGAAATCACATGCACACACAGACATGAATGTTGAGAGAGTTAATATTCATATGAAGTTTCGATTAACAGTTTCTGCGAATATGAATGATGGACATTTATATTTATGAGTTCTATTAAGATGCGAGCTTCTGAAGACATGCAGAGAGGTTTATGTGATCGTTATGAGATGTAGCCATATGTGTTTAATAAGCCTACGCAGAAATCTAGGAGTAGAATTCCTGATGGGAGAAACCCAGAATAATGTCCCTTTTTTTTTTTTTTTTTCTTTTGAGGGGGTTCTGATACAAAGCAATATTGGACTCATGGGGAAAAAAGTTAATGTGCACAAAAGATGCACAGCAATAATGTGACTACACATTTAAAAAGGTTTCTATGAAATCGTCACCATATGTCAATGTATTTTTTTCTCTTCGAATTATGCTACGCTTTTATGGTCATGAAAATTTTTAATTATTTACTCTACCGGCATTTTGGAACGTTAGGCATTCCATGAATTCGATTTTATGAGAGTTATTATGAAATTTTGATGTGGCTTAATCACACAAAATTTAAATTTTTTAAATATCATGTATATCAATAATTATCATTAAATCCTCGTAAATTAAATTTATGTAAGCAAATCAAACCTATCCATAATTATTATTTATTTTTGTCAACTATTATACAAGTTACTTAAGTTCATGAGGTGATTATTTTGAATCTTTTAATATTTAAGTCACTCCCAAACCTAATTGTCTAGCTTAGCCTACCTCTTTCATCATTTTGAAGGACCTATATAGAAGAATATTATAAAGATTGGCTCTACATGCAATTAATAAAGTATTAGGGTCCTTGAAACAAAATTTGCCCTCTAGTGAAGACAAAATCCTTCTGTTTGAGAAAGGAAAAGGATTGTACCAGTAATAAGCTTTTCACTGTGTTCTCAAAGACATTGAAAGATCATTTCTTCAACCAGTTTTCTGGTAAGTCCACGTATTTTTCAGAAATTTTCTAAGCTCCAATTTTGCTTTGAATAGGGTAAATTCCCTTCATTTCTTTCTCTCTTATCTCTCTTTTGTATTTGGGTTAATCTGTTAATCAAGATACATTTTACCCGTTCTTCTATCAAATTTGAATTGTTCTTTGAAAAGGGTATTCACACTGAGTTTAAGCTTTAAGAATTTCCTTATTTATATGGGAGCCCATTAGCACAACTTAATAATTTTAGAGTGGATGGCTAGGTTTTTGTAAAGAAAAGAAAGAAAATTTGCTGCTGGATTTAATCCCATCATGCTGCTTTTATGCCTAGTTGAATACTTTTTTTCTCATTGATTTAAATGTATCAGCTCCTGATTGTTC